CAGTTTTAGAACTGAACAGAGTCTCAAGGACAATGTCGTACTTCGTAGTCGATGTCAAAAGCAAGGTCAAGATACCGCCGGAAATGGAGACTCTCCGACGACAAAAGGAGAAGCAACCTGAAAGACTGAAAGAAATATTAAGGAATGCACCAAAAGAACAATACAAGAATAGAAAATCATCAGTGCGTGCAGGCGCAGTGGTGCAACGTGCTCATACACGTAGTGTACATCTCTCTCTCTCTAATAAAAATAAAATAAAATAAAACCACCAGCGCCCCAAGCGCCTCTTCCCGTCCTGTGCACTCGCTAAGTAAGCTCCACCCGAACCAGACGATCCATACGATGGCGGTTGTACTGCTTGTTGCCGTGTACAAAGTGATCTCCCCGTCGATGAAATCGTTTCTATGCGACGACATGGGAGGCGGCATCGGACGCTTTCGACGGCTGTGTTGTATTAGCCGATCATTGTCGTCGCCGTCGGTAGGTGTGGTGTCATTGAGAAACGTGGGCTGCTCAATGTTGTACATGCTTGGGGAATGTAAACGTGTGTTTCTGGTTTTACGTATTTGATTTCGGCATCAAGCGGCTACCTCCTCTGGCCCCTGTCGGCTGAGTAGATTCTGTTATCTCTTTTCTCAAAATGAAATGACTTGGCAAGCCCAGAGCGGCTAGTTGGCATAGAACGCAACAAGGAACCCTGAAGGAGATACAGACACTTGATAGGATTACTACGAGTATTTGGGAACAGGAGTGGGAAAAGGCGAGAAAGCCGAGGGCAAGGAAGACAGGACGGTATTCAAGTGTGATAAAAATGATAGATGACAGTCGAAATCACATTGTGACAGTGTGAACAGAAAAAATCCGCAGCAGATCGTTGCCGTTCCCGGGAAAGATTGGCAGGTCACCGGGGGGGGGAGGGGGCCGGGGTTCCATCCTCGCCGTCCAGCGACCTCCATCGTACGGGCGGCGCCTGGCATTGTGATGCTGTTGCTACCGCCGTGTCCGCAATGTGCTCCCATCGGCAGTATCCAGGGGAATTGAAGAAATGAGGAGAAAAGGAAAAGAAAAAGAAGTAAAAAAGACGAAAGCGCGCGTGAAACGGGCGAGATGGGAGAATAAAACCAGACAAAGGTAACACGACGAGCGGAGGACTTCGTCCGCGAATCCTCGAGGTTGCAGTCGGCAGGGCCACAAGGCAGTCTGACCGTCTGGCGTCGTTCCTTGGCGCTTCCGACGAATTTTGTTGCCCACCGAGCCACCCTCTAGTTCTCGCACAGATGATCATAAAAGAGGGTCTTTTTGGCGTCGAGGGCGCTTCTGTGCCCGGCGGACGCGGGATGCTGACTTTGTTTCTATTTTCAACCGTCTGGTGCGGTTTCTCACTCGCCTCCCTTCTCCACGACACGGACTCGGCACGGTAGGTTGACGCTGAACACGCGTCGCACCACCGGACGACAATATGGACGACACTGTGTATGCACGTCTTCGGTATCGACGGACGGCCGAGACTGACGCGTTCCCGTTTGTTCCACCTCCTTCTTTTGCAACGTCCTCGGCTGGTACAGCGTCCATATGCACCTGCATTCACTATCCACAATCTTCACCATATGCATGCAGTGCTGGACCCGTGCTACAAAATGCAGGCCATGGACACGCAGCTCGACCGGCAGACGGGTTTGCGCGGCACAGAGCACTACGTGCAACGCCACTCAGCTCGGAAAAGAAGAAGCAAAGGGACGAAGAAAGAAGGAGAAGAAAAGGACGACGACGAAACTGTACGACATATGCAGTGCCCCCAGATGAAGTGTTTAACGTCTCGTACCAGCTCGAGTTGTGCTCTCGATACTGATCTCGCTACAAACCAAGACGATTTCCACATTCACATTGAAGCTATAAAAGTTGAGGCGGTTCCTACAACGTTCGACACCCTCCTGCTCCGCACAAACAGCTCGGATATGGCGGTGGACGACTTGTCATTAATAAAAAAGCAAGCGGGGATTTCTCTCAGGGCTCCATGGCAATTTTGCATCTCCCGCCTTTTGCTCGCGTCCGGAGCATTTTAACGTCGTATTTTACGGTTGCCATTCTGTTGAGAGGTTAATCCTGGCCAGAGACTAGCTAGGATGCTGTTCACATACGAAGGAATCGGTTGGCGCCCCAAATCCAAAAGTCAATAAGCAGCATTGCTTGCCGGGCATGGGGCCAGGCCTGTCAACAATATGCCTGCAAGGTCCCACACAAAATACAACACTGTAAATTTGTTAATATATCGCTGGGGCGAAGAGAAAACGAGCCCGGCCAAAATAAAACGGTATTCATTGGACGTCTTACTCGTTTGAAGACGCAAATACTGTGTAAAGACACGAAATTGAAGGCACGGCGAGACGACGATCATGTCAAAAGAGGCAAAAAGGACGGGCACCAGGATGGGCCAACCGGACGTGACCAGGCAGACTCGCAGACAACAGTGTTCACTGAGCAGTGAGAGTTGACCGGTTTGAGACGAGTCAGACAAGGGCAAACCGCGTACCGGGGCCCTGGCAGTCCCAGAAAAGCTCATCTGCCCGGTAATCAACCAGCTGCCGATCGTGGTGCATATGAGGAAAGGCTTTCTGTCTGGGGTATGAAAAGAGGCGGAGGCCGGGGCAGGCGAAAGCAAAAAGTGTAGAGAGTGGAGAGGAGAATACACGACAATGGACGAGACAAATGAAAGCCAAGACGTCCACCGGCTGCCAATGCAAAGCGCAGGTCACGTTGCTTAATGTTTTTTTTGTTTTTTTTTTTTTTTTTTTTTTTTTTTTTTTTTTTTTTTTTTTTTTTTTTCTTCTTCTCACGACGTACGGAGTATGTTTTCTGTACGATGGATGTCGTATGTCGTATGCGTATGTCGTATGTCGTACATTGTGTTTTGGGGACAGACGCAGCGAGACAAGAAGGTAGAAAATCAAAAATAGACAGCTCGTTTCAGATTGGCTCTGCCGAGACCACGTCGAAGAGCTAAATTAGATTAACACCAGAGGGCGGGACCGCGACTTTGTAATAATACTTTGTACGTGCACACGCTTAGAAGCTCCTGTAGCATTTAGCTTGTCGTGGCTTTCAGAACAACTTACCAAAAACACACAAAAAAAGAAAAGAAACGCAGATCGTTCACCGGTTAGGCAATGGCTTCATACTTGTGAATAGGAGAAGTGGAAGAAGCAGTCTCCGGCTGATACGAGCAGGGAGACCTTTTTCCCAGATATCCTGGGGTAATTGCTTTTCAATGTCTCGCTCTCACACATGGTCATTTCCGGAGTTTGTTTTTTTGTTCCACCGTCTCACATGTGTCCTGCGTGTCTCGTCTTGGCCCTCGTGGATGTGTCTCGCTATCGTGTCTTAGTTTGCGTTTTTTTTTCCTTTTTTTTTTTTTTTTTTTTTTTTTTTTTTTTTTTTTTTTTTTTTCAGCTGTTGCTTTTCTTTAGGTTCTTCCTTTTCTTCCCCTTTCTTGACCCATATACACGACTACAATTATGTGCAACCAACGACAGCCATATTCTCGAAAATGGAAAGTAAATAAACGTAGAAGAATACCAAAAGTAAAGAAAGGACGGCTCAGACGCCTTTTAGCAGCCACCACAATATAATTATGCAAATGGCCAATGCGCAGGCGCATAAAATGCTGTACAAGACTCTCAGCGGCCGCCGGATACCTACCGAGCTGCCGCCTTCCAGCAAAACAGGGTCATGGCGTCGTGGCTCAGTCGACAGCAGCGACATCGCATATTGCCATCCAAGGTGCACTCGCTTTGAACACTTTGTTAATAGATTGCATTGGCAGTTGTAGCGTTTTAATCTAGTGCTTTCCTTCACTCTCCTGTAGGCTCTTGCCGTATTTGTTGACTCTGTAGCAAGGAAGGTGCCATCTATGGTCGCTGCCGTTATTTATTGCTGGTGTCCGAGCGACGATAGCCAAACACGGCAGGAACGACGGCTTCGTGCGATCTGCTCTTGCCTCACGATATTCCACACTCTTCCTTCCCCTGCAAGTTGCAATGCTGCTCCTTCCCCTTCTCAGCGTATTACGGAGTACAGAGCACACGTGTATGGAGCGTGCCTTCCCTCGCTGTACACAGACACGTTGCACAACAGGAAAGAAAGAGAAGAACAAAATAGAGAGGGAAAAATCCTGGGACGCCCACAAAAACGGCGATCCCTCTCTCCTTGTCGAGAAAACAAGAGGCAACGAAGCAGACATCCTGGACCCAAGCAGATGGCCAGAAATGAAGAAGAAGGGCGACAAGAACGAAACAGATTAAAACCTCTGCGCCGCCCACGTTGCGCCCTCGTGTCTTGCTACCAAACTTTCCCCGTCTCTGGTTCACGTTTCTTCTCTTTTGCTTTTGCTTTCTCTTCTGTTCTTTTGTTCTTTTGTTCTTTTCTTCTTTAATCTTCATCGGTCGTCCATTCGCCCTGCAGGCCCACCGCCAATAACACGCACTGACAATACGACGTACGGACGCATCACCGACATGACCATCGACCAGACGACCATCCACGGATATCTTACTGCAAGCCACAATTGCCCCTGAGCAACAACGCAGAAAATACGCAGTGCCCCTGGACTTTGCTTCTACTGTTTACCAGCAGTGTCCCCAGCTGATCGTCGACGGTCGACGAAACAAAACGAAACAATACGACTGACGACGGGCAACAACAGACGAAGAACCCAAAAGGACGATTTTAGGATACTTCGCACGGGCAAACACAACCCACGCGAGAAGCTGCCTTCTGCGCACACCGAGCACCACCACGTCCACTGGGGCACTCCAGACCCTGGTCAGTTCCGCTGTTCGCTGCCGCTTGTTTTGCAGGCTGGCTCCATTTTTCACGAGGCGGTTAAGAAAAAGGGAGTTGGGGTAAAGAGCAGGGAGACGGGGCAGTTTGAAAGGCAAAGGGGATATTAATCACAACACTGCTAACGAACATGCCAAACCAGTAGATAACAGCAGCAGACAATTATGCCTGCGCTCGAGCACCACAACGGCCAGTTCGTTGTGTCTGATGTTAGCTGTTGTTCCGTGCTGAAGATGGGCGCCAATGCCGTTGAAGCCGTTGAAGCCGCCGAGGCCTTTGCCTCCATTAAAACGTCTACAAGCACCACCGGCACAGGCACCATCGCCAAGACCACCGGAGCGAGCAGGATTGCCGCTGACAGGATTCCCACTACGGGCACTGACAACAGCAGCAGGGCTGCCACTGCAACCTCAGCCGGAATCACAACCATCACCGCTGACACGCCAACCAGTGGCACTGGGGTTGACGCTGCCAAGGTCCAGGTTGAGGACCCTGGTAACAATTCTGGGCCCGCGCCAACCAACACCAAGACTTGTGGAGGCAACATTTGCAACACAAGCTCAAGCTCAAGCACAGCGACCGGGGATGCCTCGTTATGTTCATCTCCTGCTCTGGATTCTGCTTGTCCTGTGTCTGTAGCTTCTTTGCCCTCTTTGCCATTACCAATGCCATTGTCGCCTCTTGCTTCCCTTTCAACAACCGCTTCTGCTCCCCTTCTTCGTCCCACGTCAGCCTCCGCTTCCTCGTCTACCTTTACACTTTCCAAAGCGCCTCCACCAAAGAAATACGCACGTATTCCTCCTCCCATCGAGATCGGCGGCAAGCTTCGCAACAGTACTGCCTTTTTGCTGTCACCCTCGCCTCCTCAGTCTGCCCTCCTCTCTCCTCCCTCGGGTACGCTGTTTTCGACACCCTCCACATCCTCTCTTCAGTCGCCCTTCTCCTCTCTTTTCAACAACACGGTGTCTGCTCCAGATACACGGGCCTCTTCGCCTTCCTCACGCACACTCACGAAGACTGCCATCGGCTCTCACACTGACGACGACGGCACCAACAACAGCAGCAACAGCAGTAGCAGGACCAACAACGACGACACCGCCTCGACCTGCGTCCACGGAGCGTCCGAGTCGGTTTCAAACCCCACATCGCCAACTTTGACGGTTTGGCCTGGCTACAACGGCATCGGCGGCCACGACACCGACAGTGACAACCTCGCCAGCCAACTTATTGGGCCTGTCCGCTGTCGCTCTTTGTCCGCCGGTCATAGCAGCATGACTATGACGGCCACCGCTGCTACACGGAACGCAACTGCAAGCGACAACTGCGACCACAACCACGGCCACTTTCTCCGCGCCAGCTTCGACGGGACGGCTGCCGGGCGCATGAACACTGCCCGGACGAGTACCAGCAGCCACGGCAACGGCAATAGTAAGAGCAACAGCAGCAACAGCCGCTGGCGTCCGACCTCTGCAAAGAGTGCACGAAGCGCCGAACGGGTTCGTAGACGGTCGCCGAGCCCGCTGTTCAACCCGTTTGCCCGCGTTTCCCGCCACCGACACAACGACACCCGCGACAACAACAACAACGACAGCATGCTTGCCAGCACAAGCAACGGGCGCCAGCCCACTTACAACCGGCGGGGCTCCTTGTCCTCCGGTGCTGCACCGCCGCCATTGACTCGTGAAGAGTTTGAGGCTCTTCCCGTGGCCATTCAACGAAAGGTGAGTTGATGGTGCTGTTTTCCGCAGCTCGTTCAGATCGATCCGACGTAGCAAGCAAAGAAAGAAAGAAGCAAGTGCGAGACGAGAATCACAAACCATGAAAAGGCTGCACTCTCAGCCTTCAGCCCTTCAGCCTTCAGCCCTCCAGCCGTTCACATCGGGGTTGATGAGGCTCCACCCGCCCGTTTTCCTTTTTTCTGTTCTTTTTTTTTTCTCAAATTCCTTTTTTGTTCGTTTCCATCGCGTTCGTCCCTTCTCTGTTCGCGTCTCCGCATCTTCGCCATTGTTGTGACGCATCACATTGCACTGCTGGCAACGTTGGCGCCCTCCATCCCAATCCCATCCAATCCCATCCAATCAACACGCATCCCCGACTGCCCATTGGCCAGCTTTGGGGCGTTGCAAGCACTCGCTTGCACAGACATGGATCTCCATGGGGCACCTCATCACATCGCGCCTTTTTGGCCTTCCTTAATGTCCCCTCATTTTTGCTTGGTTCATTCCCTGTCAGCTGGGCGGCAATCGGGCAGTGCCACGATCCAATGAGAGTTTGTTGATAGCCCCCAACCACACTTGAACACTTTTGTGACTGCATAGCAAATGCATGCGTTATCACAGCTGGTGAGGAGCGAAATGAGTGTGAGAATTGCGGGTGAGAAAAAGACAGATGAGAAGCGAAAAGGGAAAGCACCAAAGAGACGGCAGGGCTGAAATGAAAGCCATCCCACGCTCTAGCCAATGTCAGTCGAGAAATAGACAGTTGGACGTCGGTCAACGGCGAGTCGAGATGAGACGAACGGTAGGAACACGGACAACACGACGACAAACCGGCAACGACAAGAGCTGTGCCCGAAACGGCAAATCCGGCTGGGGGCGTTACTCGCATTGTGCATGCGAAGCGCCACACAGCTGCCTGACTGGGACAGTTGGGGTTGCGAGAAAAGTGAAGAGAGACGAAAGAGGACATGGACGAGAAAAGAAGACTGAGAAGGTGGCCAGTGGCCGCTTGAAAGAGATGTCGTCTTTTCCCGGCCGCCTTTCCTTTTTCATCGATCTCGACATCCACGGCCGCCACGTCTCTGCACGAACGTGCCTCTTTGCTTTTCTGTTCTTCTGTCCGTTCCACCGCTGTATCTTTTCTTTTTCGTCCGTTCGGTCCTTTGTGTGTCCGGGGTCTCTCCATCCTGTTCATGTCTCGCAATTGCTTGCCCTGTGCGGCCTCTTGCGGGCCTTTTGCCTCCTCTGCTGCATGTCTCGCTCGGTCTGGCGCTATCTCGCGTCTTTTGTTCATCCCGCGCATCATCCATTGCACATCACATCCCATACTCTGCACTCGCGCTCTGCACTCGCACTCTGCACTCGCACTCTGCACTCGCACTCTGCACTCTGCACATCGTTTCCGTCCGCTGTATTGCCTGCTATGCGGTCACTTCTCCCTTGGGCGGAACTGAGAAAAGTCCAAATATGAGGGGGGGGAACCGAAAGAGTCTGGCGGTGTGTTGTTCGGGAACCGACGATCATTACCTGCCATCAACGACCAGCTTGACAAGGTATGCGCTGGCCTTGGGTTGCAAGCGTGTGTGACTTCAGCGAGCATTTCCTCTCTGGGATTTCTTTTCTTCTCTTCTGTCTTATGTTTTTTTTTTTTTTCTGCTTATTTTTTTCTTATTTTTATGTCTCGTTTTGTCACATCATTTGTCTCCCACACCACATGCAAGGTCCACGCAAATCACCCCCCAACGCACCGCTGAATGGCCTGGCCCAAGCAAGAATAGGTGCGTTAGGGCGTCTTGGGACCCAGCGACCTGCATATGCAGTGGTCGGGGTGATGCATTGGTGGGTGGCTTTTGGCGCAGCTAGGTGCAGCTTGGAGTTTGGTGCATTGCAGGCTCCGTCTGGGCTACCAGTGAAGCGCTGCAGCGCCTGTGCGTGCACTGCATCGCTCTAACTGTATGTGCCTGAGCTGCGCTGACAGGGACCTGACCACTGCCTGAACTGGCACCTGGCCCCTTGCCCCTTTTTGCTCACTGCCCCTTATCCGCGCTCCACTTTTTGCCCATTGTCCTTTTGCTCTTTTCCTCTTTGGCCAAAGCAAGCCAAGCTTCCTCTCCACATCGGCGACGTTGCTCTCCTTTCTGCGAGAGCTCTCTCTCGTTCCTTTCACTTGCTTTTGACCGTCCTTTTCCTCGTCCTTTTTCTTGTCACTCCATGCCAGCTCGCCTCCGACTCTCTCCTCTGGGCTTTCTTTTTATTGTCTTTTGTTCCGTGGAGGTTCCTTTCGTGTCGATCTCCCTCGCCTTTGCGGACATCATCATCACAAAATCTCTCGTCTTTCTCCTCGCTCCTAGTCTCCTCCTGTCTCTTCCTTTCTCTCTCCTTTACGCCCTCTCCACCGCTTGCTTTCCTTTTTCTATCCACTCCCCATATAGCACGCATATTCCCTCGGTCAGTTCTCGACGAAATTGCCTTCTCGTATCTTTCTCCAACCAACACCGGCCACACCGTCTCTGCCCACTCTTGTCCACTCTGGTCTCTTCTCGTTCCTGCATGACCACCAACCACCTTTGCTGCAACTTACCTGCCAGATACAGGTACGCCGCCGCAGCCAGAGTTCTCACGACTTTCCTGCCCACATAATACCTCGCCGATTCCCGCCGCGTCCCTACTAGCCGTTCGTGTTTTGATTTTGATTTTCATCTTCATATATTTTTCGGGGCCTTTCTCCTATTTCTGTGTCATATTATTCCCACGCCATCCAGCCGACGGCCTCTCGTTGGCGTTGTGTTTATTTGTCCCTAGATTCGTGCAAGTACGAAGTACACAACAGCTCCATATTACCATCCCTCTCGGCCATTCTCTCTCCCTCCATTCCATCGTCCCGTCGTCCCACTTGGACCTGATCACATACTTTCCAGCGTGCTTTCTGTCTTTTTTTTCTTCTTTTTTTCTTTTTCTTTCCTCTTTTGTTCTATCTGCTTGCTACTGTCGTCGATCTGCTTTACTACGTTATCATCCCGTCTGCCATTCCAAGCAAAACACTAAACGGTCCTTTTTCTCCCTTCTCAACAGTACTTCTCCACACTCGAACGTCTTCGCTTTGCACAGGGGTCTGGCGCCATCGACGGCATATATCAGCACTACGACGCCATCTCCGTGCAAAACATCCAGCGCCGCAGAGCTCGCCAGGACCGCATCGCCTCGGACAACATCACCACCCGTCTCCGCAAGCGTTCTCTGCGTCTCGAGTCGTCATCTCTGCTGTCCACCAACAGCTACTTCAGCGGCAACAAGAACGGCCCCTCGCCCGCCATTGGTGACGCCGTCGCAGACACCCTCTTCTACGCCAACTTGCCCGACAAGATCAAGAAGCGCGAGTTCTCCCGTGAGGAGCGGCTTGTCCTCGCCGGCCAGCTCCACGCCAGCGTCATCCTCGACGCCGCCGACGAGGCCATCTACAAGATTGGCCGCCGCGCGAGCATCACCCACCGCCTCATCGCCCCAGACATCACTGTGGACACGCCCACCGCCACCTCCTTCCGCCGCAGCATGGAGACTATGCGGTCCGCGGAGTCCATGCAGACCATGGAGGCCATGCACAGCACGAGCGATCCCCGGCTTGCTCCAGGCCGGCGAAACCCCCTCGGCCTCGACGACACCGCTGCCAAGCGTATCAGCGGCGTGCCCGAGTCCTTTTACGACAGCTTTCGCTGGCTGGAAGACGAGGACGACCTGGACCTGCGCCTCTTCCTCGACGACTACCACGCCAACCTGCGCGACGCACTGCCCTCGCCCAGCAAAGAGCGCCGCCCATCGCTTCGTCGCCACCTTTCCATTTCCAAGAAGGCCTTTGGCCGCCCGCTGCCCACGTCCGCCTCGACAGGCAGCAATCTTCTGGGCGCGGGTGTTGGGAAGGGCAGCAGCAGCAACATCAGCAACGGCCGCCCTGCCACAAAGGACGACGCTGCCTCGACGACGCGGACAGCCAGGTCGCCCAGCATGAGCAACAGCAACGGCATGACCACACCCTTCCCTACCATGCCCTCGAGCACGTTTTCCTCGCCCACCCGTCCTGGCTCGCACGTTCGCCGGAAATCACGGACGCTGTCCCTCATCACGCCCAGACAACACGCCGCCCACGACTCCATCTCCAGCATCGACCCAGGCGCCGCACACTACCAGGACCCCGAGGCCCGTCTCAAGCTGCGCGTCTACTTGGCCTCACCGCAAAAGTTTGACGAGGCCATTGAGTTTGGCTTCCCCTCGACCGATGTGCTGTCGTCGATGCCTTCCATGCCCAGCATGTCCATGGCCGGCGGCTCTCCGCCCCTGGGCTCGTCCTCCATCCTGTCGTCCACGTCCACCAAGGGCAATCGCGTTTCCACCGCTCCGACAGCCGTCGAGAAGCGGCATATGCGCCGGGGTACGCGGCAGAGCACCTCGGACGGCACCATGCGGACGTTCCTAGCCGATGAGGACGATGACGAAAACGACAACGCCAATGAGAACGAGAACGAGAACGGAAACACGGCCACTGAAGACGACGACATGACCAAGCTCGACAGCGACCAGGCATCCGTGCCCGACCCGGAATCCCCCAAGACGCCCAACCTGACGCACGACAGTGACCTTGTCGGCGGCATCGGCAGCCGGAAAACCTCGTCCTCGGCGTTCCGCCCGTACCGTATCTCCTCGTCCGCCGACGCGCCACAATCGGCCGGCCACCGGCCAACCGACAGCTACGCTCAGGTGCCTGCGTCGTCGCGCGAGATGACTCTGCGTATGACCCTGACGCGCCTGGATCTGCGCGCCGGCGAGGACGAAATTTATGGCTGGCAGCAGCAGAAGAAGCAGTACCACGTGCACCACCAGAGCAGCAGCCACAATCACCTGCAGGGCCCCAACCACCTCCGCAAATCGTCAAACGCCACGGCCCTCCCGGGCGCTGTGGGGCCGTATTACCCATCGGCGCGCAACGATTCCCTTCGTCTGCCGTCCTCCACTACGACGACAACGACGACGACCACCACCACCACAACCACGTCGACATCGACATCAACGTGCGACAACTCGATCACGTACCTCGGTGCCGGTGCGGTCAGCCGGCCCAAGGCGAGCATCGAGGACGTCTTTGCCGGCATCGACCATTGGGAGGCCGACCAGGACAAGGGCGTCATGAAGCGCTTTTGGAATCGGGTGCGGCGGTCTTAGAGACGCCTCCGCCGCCCATCGCCCTGGCCGAATCCCTTGCTTACTGTGGAGCAGCAGTTGCTTCCCACTCTATTCTGTATTTTCCGCTCTTCCGTCCCCTGCTCTATAGAGTGCGACATGGGTGCTTGCCATTCTTATTTTACGTGGATTTTGCTTCGTTTATCATTTTGTGTTGCATCATACCATTTCTTTGTATCTTTTTAGTCTTTCTTCGTCCAATTCGTGAGGGTCTCTTTGTATTTTTTTAGTATCATTTTTATTTCTTTTCTTTTCCCTTCGTTCAGATATCAACATTAGCCAGCGCTTGCATTTTGTTCATCCTTCTCTTTCATTTTACTCTCTGCACACTTATTTTCAGCTTACATACATTCATTACCAACTACTTTTACTACTACTCTCGTTTTTATTGGTTGTTTTTAGTTTTACCTGGCTTCTGGTTCTATATCACTTCTTTTATTGCCTTATCAGCATACTTCTTATTATTCGTCTGGGCCTTGCATGTAGCCCCTTTTTGAATATAAAACTATTCCTACGGACTTACCTGCACATACTGAGAAAAAGTGGCTTGCCCAGATTTGGTTTTGAAACGTGATTCTGGTATGGAGGATGATAAAATACAACATACTCTACTATGCGTCCAAATCACTGGCCGCTTTGTCTCGGTCCGGCGGAGTGTGTGCCTTTTCCTGTTCCTTGGGTCGCCATGTCTCACTGCGTTGCCCTCGACCAAAAATACGAGACGTTTGGAGCATTGTTTTTCCTTGTTTGGTTTCGTCTCGTCGTGCTCCAGCCGAAGCCGCAGTGACGTTGCGTGATTGGAGACGCCAAAAACGGGGGGCCCTGTCAATAACAAAGAAGCGAATATAGGGAGATGCTGTGCACGGCGACGACGGGATGGGTCCTGCCAGTTCCTGTCTGTGCCTGTCTGTGCCTGGGCTGTTTGTTGGTTTTTCCGCTCGCTTCCAATTAAGCTTGGACCGCTTATAATTGACGTCCATGTTCTTGGAGGCATACAGCAGGCCAAAAAGAAATGAATGTTGCAAAAAGCGAGGGGCAGAGACACACTCTATCCGCAATGTCTGTTGCGTTTTTCATTCTTTTCTTTTCTTCTGCTGGCAGAGCTTGTGAGATATGGGCTAATCTCGTACATAAACACAGGACAACGAACCTAAATGGACTTCTTTTCAACTGGCCGTCCTCTTTGCTCTGTCCATGCTCCTTGTCAGTCTGTGGCGACACTTACAAACTCGCCCTTTCGTCGATGACCTGTTCTCAACGCAGTCGAGTAAAACAAGTGAAACTAGTAGCGTTGCATCCACCAATGCGCGGGCCCTTTTTTGCATGTCGTACGACATCCCGATCGTTTTGGCAGTTTACGGCGTGCAGTTTTTTCAAGACTAGCCATGCACGATGGACGATGCGTGATGCAGGCGCTGTGGTTTTTTTATATACCTTTTTGCCTTTGCAAGAAAAAAGCAGAGAGCGCCTGCATTAGTGTGTATGAAAAAGAGGACCGGCCGGCCGCTTCCCCTCTTCGACTGTCTTGGATGTGCAGACTGCTTTTGGAATGGTGCCAGCGAGCAGTTGCCAGGTCGGTTTTGTCTTGCCGATGGACACAGAGCACTCCCAAGCGGCCAGGTCAGCAACGCACCCAGTGCAGCTCTACGAAAGAGGACAACAAACAACCTTTGCCTGTTGCAGTCGGACATCCAACACATGGAAAGGAACAAAGAGGGGCTCGGCTACCAAGGAAACATCCTAGTGCGCCCGCGAGATGTGGCGGCTAGTATAGCAAAGAGCAAGGAGCTAGGAGCCCGAGTTGGCGGTGGGAACAAGGAACCGGGAACCTAGAACCAGGAGAGGCGCTTTTCATGTGTAAAAAGGTAGGTCATGTACGACATACAGAATCCATCGCACGAAACGTCTTGCCGAAACAAGTGCACGATGCTACTCTGCTCACATCACCTCTAGAAACAATGCAAGGGGATGCGAAGCTCGGAGCGCTTTCGTCACGTCGCAGTTACGCTGACTTTGTTTGGCGCATTTCCTTTTTATTTCGTTGTTCTTTTTCTTTTGTTTCCCGCGGTTCCTCTCTCTTCGCCGGCATCGTGGTGTGATCGACCGCGACACGTCAGCTGAAAGTATGTCGTATGTCGTACGACGTACAAAGAGGCCGTTGAAAGTTGAAAAAGTTTGTCGAGGAACGCGGCCGAAGGAATGAAACGAGGGCGACGGTGCCGACAATCCACAGTCCAGAGAAAACGGCCGGCCGAGACAGCTCGAGGGACAAAAACGTATGGAGATCGGAGCACACAGCGCACCAAACAAAAGGCCGTCGACCTGTTGGCGCCTTTGGGCCGAGGTTGACACTCATCCCTTGCTTCGCCGTGTTCCGTTCCGGCACTTGTTTGTGATGTCGTACTTTGTGCCTTTCCGTGCCTGAGAACCATTCTTAGAGGCGGCACAAGCAAGCTGAACAGCATGCCACCCCACGAGGCAAGGGAGACACAATGCGAGACAGCGAGAGACAGAAGCCGGTAGAAAGACATACGGCACACGCAACGCAGGCATTTGTTTGTGCACTCATTTTAAGCATAGTTACCCGTCGGTGTGATGACTAAGCACGACACGTCAACTCGAGCACCTATTTTTCTATATTGTACAGTGTAGATTTGGAATTTGGTATTTGGTATTTGGTATTTTGATCGTTTGTGCTTTTGCAAGTTGTGTTTGTGCTTGGCGGGCTATATGCGAGAGGGTACAGGGGAGGCACAGCGAGGCATCTGCCTGATATCTCAAGGCAAAACAAGACGATAAAAACAGAAAAGTAAAAAGAAAAAAAAAGGAAATAGTAACCCATGAAAAGACTGTACAACTCGCCATCCAAAACATGGCAAAACAAATGGAAACGACTTTATCTACTCGTCAGCGAGCGTTGCTTTTGGCTCACGCGACCGCGGCCCAACCGCCTAGACGTCCTCGTCGCTGTCGTCGCCCAGCAGCTCGCCCTCGTCGTCGTCCACAATCGCATAGTCGCCCCGTCCGCGCGCAAAGCTGTCGCGCGTCGTGAACCGCCGCGACCCGCCGCCGCCCAGGCCCAGGCCCAGGCCCAGCCGGCTCCATGCGCCCCGCGCACCACCACCGCTGCTGCCGCCCGCGCGCCGCTCCAGGGCGCCGGTGGCCGTCCGCCAGAGCGCCGTCGCCAGCAGCGGCAGCGTGCCGACGACGGCCACGACGCCGGCGGCCGCCATGATGGGGTACTTGATGTAGGGCGCGTCGCTGTCGACGGTGAAGCGCGACGAGCCGCCCTCGCCCAGCCGGATCGCGCCAAACTTGCCCGTCCAGTTGCGGTACACGTACCACGCCACCGCCGCGGCCGCGCCCACCGACACCAGCACAATCACGGCAATCGCAAACGCGCCCGGCCCGCTGTGCTTGCGCGCAAACTCGTCCTCGTGGTCCTGGCACGGCTTCGGCTCCGACGTCTTGTCCGACTCGTCGCCGCCCTCGCACGTCGTCAGCGGGATGCGCCGGAAGCCCGTCGGCGGGTAGTACTCGACCGCGTCCGGGTGCTCGCTGCACCACTGCTTCTTGGACATGGGCGCCAGCCCGGGCACCAGCGAGCACTGCCCGTGGTTGTCGAGCTCAAAGTTGTAGTCGCACTCGTAGTCGCGCCGCGTGCACGTGCAGTTCTCCGTGTTGTACAGGTGCCGGATCTTGTACCCGTTGTAGCACGTGCGGTCCGTCTTCTTGCGCAGGTACCGCGACACGTGCCCAAACAGGCACGACGACTCCGGCAGCAGCGGGTGCGACGGCGACCACAGGTAGTAGTCCGACTTGCCCGCGTCCTTGTCGTCGTGCTCGCACGGCCGGTCCGTCAGCCCGGAAAAGTCCACGTTGATGGTAAACACGTGGTCCCGCCCCGGCGACCGGCACCACAGCAAGAAGTTGCGCGACGCGCCCGACCGCAGCGTCGTAATGTCCAGCACCTCCACCTCCTCGTCGCTGAACTGGTGGTCGCGGAACGTCGCGCCCTCGTCCGTCGTAAACGACACCGTCCGCGTCTTGGCGTTGCGCGGCACCAGCACCACAATCGAGCCCTGGTCGCCAAACTGCCACGTCCACGCGCCCTTCTTGACGTTGCGCCACGTCAGGCCCGCGTCCGTCGTCATAAACGTGTCGGCCTCGCCGATCGGGCCCAGCTGGTCGCCCACGTTGCCGACGCCAAACATCAGCCCCACCGCCCCCGACGACGAGAACGTCTTGCGGTGGTCCTCGCGCTCCGTGTACCCGTGGATGTGCAGCGCGCAGCTCTCGTCGCCGCCCTCGCGCGCGCCCTTGCGCGGCGTGCACCCGTAGTTGTTGTTGTCGACGTCCTTGGGCGGCGGCGGCAGAAACGCCCACTCGGCGCCGTCGTTGTGGCTGATCTTGGTCTGCAGCTTCTTGGCCGTCGCCTTGGCGTCGTCGCGGTTCGCCACCACGTTCACCACCACCACGCCCTCGAGGCCCAGCATCTTCTCAAAGTCCACGTAGTAGCGGTTGTCGCAGTTGACGCCCGCAATGCTCATCACGTACGACGTGCCGTTCGAGTTGCTCTTGAGAATCGTGCCGTAGCGCCTGTCCTTGCCCGTCTCCGTCGCCACAAACAGGTTGACCGCGTGCGTCGAGCTGTCCAGCACCGTGTACTCGTGCTGCTTGGGCACCGCAAAGTTGACGGGGAACCGCGCCTCCGCGTACGTCTCGCCGTCCAGGCTCGCCAGCGCCCGCAGGCTGCTCTTCTCCTTGTCCTCGGCCGCCACCACAATGAACTCGGCCATGGTCGCAAAGCCCTTGACGTTCGCCTCGTGCACCACCTTGGTCTCGAACCAGTCCGTGCTCGACACCAGCTGCAGCGGGTTCGCGTCGCCGTCGCCCTGCACGTCCTCCTCGCGCGCGTGCACCAGGCAGACGACCTCCTCCGGCTTGCGGTTCTTGTACGCGCTCGAGCCGATAAACTCGCA